TGGGCATGCAGGGGTATAAGTTTAAGTGCCTGAGGGACTTTACAGACAAGAAACATAGCTGTGGATGGACCTTTACTGCCAAAGGAGTTGGAGAACGGGGACAGAGTTTGAGGATCACTCACCTGGCCTTTGGTGTTTGTATTACACACAAGGCTAACTGTGGGCAATGAAGCCATTTAGGGCTCTGGCCCTCAAACCTGGCCGCCTCTGTTCACCTCTCTGCGGATTAGAAATGCTTTCCAATTTTGTAAAACTCCAACCTGAGGACATCTCATCAGACAAAAATATAGATGCAAAGTGTTTTTAACAAGCAGCTGATACTCTAGGAGCAGTCTGTGAAGGATATAGCTTCAAGGCAGTGGACAATTCCTATCATTGTTAGGGGTCAAATGTTGCTGCTGAGAACATAAAAACAGTGGGAAACGGGTGATGTTAGTAAGCCACAGGAATGAGCCAATAGCCTCAACTATTAGGGCAGAAAAGAATTCATGTATTCTAAGTTGAAAGAAACATGTCTTATGTTTATACCTTATTTTTACTCATTGCCTGCATACTGGATATCTTGCACTCCTAAGAACACTTGAAAACAAGTTCTTCAATAACGCATAACTCCAGACTTGTTGCCATCCCAAAAGCTGCAGCAAAGCTGGGTGAACATGGGCAGAGTGCAGAAGCTCCAAGGGGTCAGAAGATCTGGACTGAGCAAAATTCCAGGGCAAACTTCCCCTCTTCTGAGCTGTGCACATATGTTGGCATGTATGCGTATAACCCCCACGGCAGCTGAGTCACAGGGTTGCAGGGGAATTTAACCAATAAGCCACCAACTATGCATAAAATAAGATAATGATACTTATCTGCTGTAAGAATAACTCTCTCAGAACTTGCTTAAATCAGCTATGACTACTTTTTAATTGATAAATACTCTAGGCAGCAATAAAAATAGGTTTCTTAGTTCAATTGCAGTAGCACATCTCCAAGGCTCATAAATCTTCCAGCCATTGTACTACCCTTTGGCGTCACTGGAAGTTTTGCAATTGACTTAGTCACTGGTTGCAGCATTCCTCACACACAGGAAAAAAAATGAGGGAAAGTAAAAACTAACCAGTGCTGAACTATTAGTGCTGCTTTGGATGAGCTGACTTTTTCTTTTTTTGGGTATATTTTGGCCATTTGGAAATTCAAAATGTCACAGTGATGGTCATTTTTTCATTTATTTCCAAATGTAGAAAAATATGTAGCAAGGATTCTGCCCATGAAGAACCAAGATCGTTTTTCCCTGTCTCCTATAAAGGCTGTCCCACTAGAATTTAAGCTACATATAAATGACTTTGAGGCTTTAAAATTAAGATAATGTACTGAAGAAGTGCTAGTGTTATTTTTTTTCCCAGAAAATAAAGAATTAATTAAACAAATTAAGCCTAAGTGCAATATCAGAACTGTACATCCCCTCTCTGACATCTCTCTCTCTGATATTCAGATTCAAGAGATTACAAAAAGTAAAATCTATCTGTAATGGAGATCTTTTGTGACACCTCCCCAAAAAGGACACTATTGTATGGTGGTTAGGTTTAGGACAACAATCTGGAATGAAAGCAGACAATTTTTGTTTATATATTTAAATGATGACTTTCTGGTCTGTAAATGAATGACATCTAGCTCAGGGAGGAGCGAGAGTTTAGGTCTATTGGCAAAAATGCACATTATTTCTCTGCTTTGTCTTTCTCGTTTGCCTCTCTCAGTTAACAATGAAATTTAGCCACAGACTCCCACTACTGTTTTTCTTGGAGAGCAGTGTAGAATGAAGAAATGTTGTAATTAAATGTAAAAGACGCCCATACATTGTAGTAAGAGCTGGATTCCATGTGTTCCATGTGTTTTGGTAATAAGAATGGTCTTTGTAGGGAGAAGGGAAAAGTAAGACAAGGTAGCTCAGGTCTACCAACCTTTGAAGCTTGAAGCCATCCCCAGTACCCACCATCTCTGATCCCTTCACTCACCTCAAACGCACACACATGCAAAAGGACTTTGTGACTCCAATGTGATTTTAAAACCTCTTTCTGTACCAGTTGGTCATGCCACTGCCATGACATTCACAGCCATCTGAGATGTGCTCTGCTCCCATGTGTTGCACATATGGCCAGCAGCTCCTCTACCACCAAGGCTTGCACAATCACAATCACCATCATAAATAAGGCAACCAGCAGCAGTTGCTACATGTTTCCTTCTCACAGGGAAGTAGGATGGTGAGCTGGAATTCAACTCTGTTCTTCACCTGTGTATGTACCTGAGAAACAATTCACTTACTCCTTTCAGGATCTCATGTAGGGGTAAGTCCTGTTGCAAACTTGGCCGTAGGCCTTTAGTCCCGTGCCACTCAGATGCACTTGTGGTTCCTGCAGCCCTTTGCAGCGGTAATTACACCACCTTTTTGTACTTTTCGCTATTTTTTATTCACTTTGTGTCTAAGGATGTCACTGTCAGTGTCTGTGGACTTCGGGGAGCTTGTTGCCTTCATGCGTGGTTGGAAGTGAGCCTCAGCTCTGGGAAGGCATTACTTATTTAAGATTATGGATGATTTAAGATTATTCCATTGCTTAAATAAATCTGAATTTGTTTTTTTCAAATGTATATGAATGCAGTATATCATTTTAGGTGTATGTATATGCATATATGTGGCACTGGATTTGACACTGTTTGTTTTTAAGGCAACTCAGTTTTCCTTCCTACCAAGCACAGAGAAAATAGAATTCAATCTATTTGCCTGCTCTCCCTAGCCAGAAATGTTTGTTTTAGGTTCCTTGGATTAGGAAAATTGAAGGTATTATCCTCTGATTCACTGGCAGTGCCGGCAGCTCCTGACTTGGGAGCTTGGATCTCACTGCGCGGTGGTAGCTGATCAAGAAGTGACAGCGCTCATCCCCCTTGGAGCCACGTGCAAGTGTACCTTCCCTGTATGTTTTACATTTCTCTTCGGCTGGGGCAGCATCTTCTACATCTGGCCACCTTCCCTTTCTTCTTCCAAGCAGTTCATAAATCTGAATCCATGAATTTGGCAGAGCAGTTGTCTTTGAATTCTTTATCCTAATGATCCAGACACGCCAGAGCCCTGATTTCAGTTCTTACAGCCACATATGTAAGAAGCACTTGCATAGATAGTAATCATAGCACCAGTGTTACTGCATTAAGAGTTGGTCTAGCTTACAAGCAAAAATGGCCAGAAGATGCCAAGTTTGTTTTGGGTTGCTGTTGTTATGGGCTTTTTTTTTTTTCTTTTCCCAGCAAATTTAGATGTTTCAAAAAATTGTTTTTGTACAGCATGAAAAGGAAAACAAAGCCTTTTCAACACTTTCACACAGCTTCTGGTTTGAAGCCTGATTTAGGGCATGGATTCAAATCTCTTCATAGTCAAGAAAAAAGTGTACTTTCTTGCTTCCAACTGCTGATATTTGGGGAGAAAAGGGGACATAGATGTTGCTCTAGCCACATTTTACTCCCCAAACTTACTAGATTGTCTAGCCATCATTCTGCCCACTCTGTTTAATGGGTGAAGAAATGTCTTAGCAAAAACCTCATTTTTTTACAAAGCAAGATTCAGGTCAGATTTACTTACAGTCCTGCAAGTAAGGAATATTTTAAGTGTGTCTCCAGACATCCCATTCCCAGGAATGAGTGCCAAGTTTCTTTGGTTTGCTCACAAGTTGCTGAATTGATAAGATTATCAGGAGGGTTTTGTTAGGTGTTTGCAAATATGCCAATAAAAAGAAGCGTATCACTTTTTTGCCTCTTAAATAATTCACTGAGGGTTTTTATATTACTTTCTTCTGTGAGTTTATAGCTTAATATTCTTTACTACTGTATTTATTAAAAGAACACATTATTTTAAAAATGCATAGCCATATATATGTGTGTGTATGTATATGCACACATTACCCCCCCGAGTTAAGCATTGTATCATTAATGGAATACTTTGCTCAGTAATGCTTTATTTTTTTTACTAGTATCACAAATATTTCTTTACCAAACAAAAATAACACTGGCATGGCAATACACTTTATTCTTTATAGCTTCAGATTGTATCTCAAAACCTTATGAGGTCATTAATCCACTTGCAGTTTGTAAAATAACCAGAAAATATTCCCTTTGCCAAATAATGAATATTCTAATCAATAACAATATAGGAGCTGCTTAATCCATAAGAATCCTAAGAGCAACAAGCTGATGATACATGTGTGAGAGCTGAACAGCTATTTACTTTGTTATAACTACTGTTTTGGTGTCGTGAGCTCCTACAGAGGGGAGTTATGTAGTATCATTATGCATTGACTCTAAAGACCAACATTTATGGTGATTTTTTTTATATCAAAGCTACACCAAAATATCTGATTGTGTTTAGACTGTTGGGGGAGTTCAGAGAGCAACGGGGAAGGATCTTTAGGTGGATTTTGCTTTTTGATGAAAACTGCACTAACAAGCTTAGTTAGGAAGGCAGCTCTGCTCCAAAAGTAGATTTGGACTCATGAATCCTTGTACCTTGCCTAGCTGTATTTTTGTTGTACTTTCACACCTACTCATAAATAATCTGGCAAAGGACCACCTCTGTGAATACTGAATATTGTGAATTATTCACTAAGTACTAGGATAGATAAGCAAATGCCAGACATGGTCAGATTTGTGATATTCTGTGAGTACCAACCTAACGTGGAGAGGAACTTCATTTTCCATTAGTTTCCCTGTGTATTTTATGTAAGGGGTCACTGCTATTTTGCTGAGTCTTTCTGTAAAACTAGTGAAAGTAGACATTTTTTTAAAAAGAGATTTGAAGTTCAAGTCATAAACTAACATTATTTTCTATAATCCAAATGCCATTATACTATTCCAGATGCATCCTGAAAAATAACCTTTTTTATATATGTGTGTGTGTGTATATATATATATTTTATATATATATTATACATATATATATGTGTATATATTTATATATATTTATATATATATACACACACACTTTCAGCAGTTCTTTAGGCAAGGGAGAACTCAGTTTGCTGCAATATAAAGTTTTTCATCTTCTCAGGGAATAAGACTATGCTTCCTGGAGCAGTACCAAGAACACTGATAGCCCCCAATGTCATTAGAATATCATAGTGTTTCAGAAGATTATCAGCTGGATGATCCTGCATTTGGATTCACTGTATGTTGCCACAGTTTTATTAACACAGACAACTGTCTCCATCTCCACCTATAATATTCCACGGACACATAATATAAGCACTTTATAATGTGCCAATGCTGCTGTTAGAGGAAAAAAAAAAAGGGCGGGGGGATTGATTTCTAAAAGTACCATTGATAAGGCAATAAGACTCGCAAGTGTTCAGGAAAAGTCATGGAATGATTAAAACTAATAGAAAAATATTCCAGTGGATAAACTCAAAATCAGTTCTTTAATTTTTAAATCTGCACAGCAATAATTGAGACAAATTAGCCTATGAAATATTTTGGAAAATGTCACTTTGCAAACCTTGTAGATTGCTTAAATGTTTATTAAAATAGACCAAAAGCCAAAATTCTCTGGGTAAAATAAATACTTTGCCTTTGCTAAGTAACAATATTTGTGAACAAAACATAAAACTATAATTTTCATGTGTCAAACAAAGTAAAATTTAAGATTAAATGTTGGAGTCAGACTGGGCATTTTTTACATCTCCCTATTTGCAAGCTGCTCATTAAGACTATTTACCTCACATTAGCTATTAAAATGACTAATATTTTTAAAGTTTTCTCCGTGACTAAAATAAAAACAACAGAACTGTCCTTTTACCATAACTTAACGAAAAGCAGAACCATATTTTCGTTATCTAGAGGAACATACTGTTATAAATACAGCTGTTTTTCATCTACAATTATATAAATAATAAACATGCTGCCATTCACAAGGATTTTAATAGATGATTATATATAAGCAATATTACGATCTAGCTGAAGATGGCATAAGTTTTCATCGTTCATTTTTATTGTACTTATTCAGGACCCTTGTCTTCATCTGAAAAATGTGGCACAGACTTCTTTGCTACAACATTATCCAGTCGCTGTCCTTGGAGATATGGGTTCACGCTCTGGAAAAGATTACAAAAATAAAGTAAGTATGTGTTTGTGTGTGTGTATATATGTATCCATTTATATGTATGTGTGTATCTATATATACATTTGTATATGCACACACATGTTCATGGAGATCGTCGCTATGTATTTCTTATCCATCAAATTTTTATGGACTGAAAATAAGTAATTGCTCCTAGCGAGTAAATCTAGAAATCACTCAATGCTTTGCTTTCCAGTAAGTTTTTAGTGCAAGAATTTAATCCATACCACTAAAAAGAGTAACGACTACCTACCGCACAGTGAGGACAAGCAAAGGGGACTGTGCAGCCTAAGGGACAGCATACAGATTTAAATGCTGTCTTTTTGCTCCACTCCCCCCTTCCGTTAATTCTTGCTGCAGGACAGAACTCGTCAGAAATGTTCAGGTAAGCCTCATTTTAAACCATGAACCTCTGGAGGACCTCATGCTGGGGATAAATTAAATATAATAAAACCGTGACATGAGTTTTTCACTGAAGTCTCTTCTTCAGCCCATCTCCTCAGCAGGGACCCCCTCCTCACTGCCCTTCTCGACGCAGAGATAAAAACTCTTCTGGCACAGAAACACAGCCAAGCAAGCTTTTGGCATAGGAAATGGCCCTCGCCACTGCCAAGAAGAAGGGAATGCTGAAAGGAAAATCCCTGGAGAGGGTTTAACTTCGCTTTCACCATATAAGCAGCACGACGCGAGAGTGAAGATGAACAGACCCTGTCCTAAGCTGGTTCAGAGAGCATGGTAATGTAGAAAGCCTCTGCTTTAATTTTATCTTTACCAATGAAATAAAATGTATTAATTGTATTTGTACCTATCAGGCAGATTGATGGAGCTTTAAAATTAACTTAAATACTATTTATGCCCACTTTCAGGTCTCTTCCAGTGTCACTGTAAACAGAATTCAAGCACTTTCTTTCTAGTTCATGGATATGAAGAGAAAAGAGAGAATGTTGGGTTTTGATGCCAAAAAAATTGTGCGTCTCCCTAAGGAGGAGCTCTTGGAGGATGCACTTTTTCCAGTATCTTCTGATTCTTGTCAGGCTGATAGTATCTTAGAAACTACTTTTCATGAAGTATTTCTGTGCTTACTTCACCAAAACTTGGGAGTTCAAAATCAGGGGAAAAAAAAAAAACCCAAGGATTAAAGTATTTATTTTGAAATATACCCAGAAATTGTCAAATATCTGGAAAAAAGATAAAGAGTTTTGGGATTTGTCTATATGTGAGCGTAAAACTTCTTTTTTTCTCTCGATTTGTTGAAATTATCATTGATACTTAATCAAAGTGTAGAATGGTCCTCCTTCTTTTGCAGTTTTGTTTACTGATTACTTTGCTTGCTACAAGTGAAAACAACAAAAAAAAAATTAAGAGCCAGAAATTAATATGGAAAATCCTTGAAAATAACACTAACACTAATTTGATGCTTAAAATCAGGGTGTGTTAAAAATAAGACACATGTAAATGATTTATTTATGTTTGTTTAAAGAAGTTCTGTTTAATGTTAATTTAGTGAAATTCAGCTGTTGGCTTAACTTCTAGGAATTATTTGAAGATTCTTAGGAAGATTAATTGGTCTTTTTCTGGACGGGTAATTGCTTGCTACTTTTTGAAATAAAGTAAAAAAGAATGAGAAAACATAAAAAAGTTTGAACTCCTCTCTTTACTGACAAAAGAGAACACAAAATATAATGCAGAAATTTTGGTGAATTTAAATCTTACACATCTGTGCCAGATTCAGAGCAATGTGGTTCACCAGTGCCTTAGTGCACAGCCCCAGAGCTCCCAGCACCGCGACCCTGTTGTCAGAACCAGCCCTGTTCCGCTCCCGCTGCTCCTAAGTCTGGGGTAGGACGCTCGGCACGTACGGAAATTAAAAACAGGCAGAATCACTTCAGTTGAGGAAGAGGTCACTGGGAGCCTCCTTGTCTTCCATAGGAAAAGTTGTGGAAAGAAAAAAAAAGCCCACAGTAGCATAGGATAAATATACACCTCTGCTTCTATAGGCTGCATGTGTATGTTTAGTATGAGGTGTATGTGTTTTGACAGATGCATATACACAGAAGAAGTAGTTTTGTCCCCATTACAGCTGCACTGCACACACCACAGTTGCTCTGCGTGGACAACTCCTGCACGGACAATTTCTCCAAGGGCAAGCTGGAACGCGCGAGTGACAGAGCCATTTCCCGCAGGATGAGGTCCTCGGGAGGAGCCTGTTGGTCTGGGAGGACCATGGAGCTGGGGTCGGAGGGGGAATTCGATGGGGTTTTGGTGATGTGGAAAACTGCAGTCGGTTGTTGACAACTCAAGATTCGCCTTTAAGCTGATGGAGGAGTGTGAATTGCTCACTGCTGTGTTAGTAACCATTGCAGTATTACTCTCAGAACAGTATTTTGAAGTAATGAGTGCACCCTTAGATGACATGCCTCTGCAAAGAAGATAAATCTCTTGTCAAGCAAGAGACCTGTGCTGCTGAACTCCAGGGCTATCCCTAGCCACAGAGCTGTCCTGTCGTTTTATATCCAATTACATCAGTCAGCGCATAAGAAGAAAATGTATATATCTTCCTTTTTTTTTTTCTCCTGTATATGTCACACTAATCCACCCTTAACATACTGTTCTGTTCTAACTATCAATAAATATTCCACATAACTATTCCCAGAGTGGATTCTGCTTACTTTACAGAGTTAAAATAAGGTGTCATTGCCACTTTTTGCTTTTCTGTTAACAAATTTGAAAATCAAACTAAGCAGGACTCAGATCCTAAGCACACTCATGTAATAATCCTCAAGCTAGATCATTAACTTTTGATTGCAAAATGTTTATTTCTGATGATATGTGATTCAATAAGAAATCAACTCATCTTCTCACTTTCTGGCAGGGACTAAGTTTGAAAGTTTAAAAAAAATCATCTTGCGCTTTAGTTATTCCAAAGCGAATCTACTCCATTTACAATATAAACCCTGCTGTCATGTTTTACAAAGTTCCTTTTTGGCAGAGCTACACTTTAAAATGTAAAGCTCTCTTTTCTTCTTGCAAAAAAATTACACCAGCAGCAAAGCTAAAGACTTTTCCTCTGCCTGAATGTGACTTTTTGAGGGAAGAAAGACTCAAACAATTGAAAAAGAGAGATGTAGTGAGATGCATGTAGTGAGATGCATGTAGTGAGATGCA